GAAGGAAGGAAGGAAGGAAGGAAGGAAGGAAGGAAGGAAGGAAGGAAGGAAGGAAGGAAGGAAAGAAAAAGTGTGAGTGAAGGGAGGAGGGCCCAATTTATTGACAAAAGCAATGGGTGGCTCTATGGTTTCTGTTACCAGTCATACAGTGGAATAGAAAACCTGATATTTTCACCACTAAACATTTAGAAATGATTAATAAACTATTACAAACACCTCTTAAGTGTATACTTTGGGCTCCCCTTGAAGAGTTTGGAGAGAGGTTGCTGGTCCCTTAAGCAAGGAGCCTTGGTTTTGATAGTCACTCAGGGACAAAAACTTGGCCCTTACAGGGTAGGATTCAGGAATGACACTGTCCTATATTCCTGAGATCTCTGAAGGGCTACACCCTTAGTGAAATACTGGACTAGAAAAAAAATTCACTCGCTGGTACAGGATGAAAATAAGGAAGCTAGGCTGAGCACGGTGGCTAACGCCTGTAATCCCAACACTTTGGAAGGCCCAGGTGGGTGACCACTTGAGACCAGGAGTTGGAGTCCAGCCTGAGCAACATAGCGAAACCCTGACCCTACTAAAAAGACAAAAAAGAGCGTGGTGGCATGTGCCTGTAGTTTCAGCTACTGGGGAGGCTGAGGTGGGAGGATCGCTTGAACTCAGGAGGTGAAGGTTGCAGTGAGCCGAGATCTCGCCACTGCACTCCAGGCTGGGCAACAGAATGAAACTCTGTCTCAAAAAAATTTAAAAAAAAAAGAAGGAAGCTTATGGACCTTGTTTGCCTCTGAGAACATGTAACCACAACCTATCCCTCATATGCACTTAGGATTTGAATTTATACTACCTCTGTAGTCAGGCAAACCCACCACAGATAAATTAACTTAAAAAGTGGTCCAGCTTAGAAATATCCCTGAGGCACCTGGCAGAAAAAACACAAAATTTCTCCATATGACAAAATCCTTAACCAAGCCTCACCAGATTCCTTCAATAATACCTCACTAGCCGGGCGCGGTGGCTCAAGCCTGTAATCCCAGCACTTTGGGAGGCCGAGGCGGGTGGATCACGAGGTCAGGAGATCGAGACCATCCTGGCTAACATGGTGAAACCCCATCTCTACTAAAAATACAAAAAACTAGCCGGGCGTGGTGGCGGGCGCCTGTAGTCCCAGCTACTCGGAGGCTGAGGCGGGAGAATGGCGTGAACCCGGGAGGCCGAGCTTGCAGTGAGCCGAAATTGCGCCACTGCACTCCAGCCTGGGCGACACAGCGAGACTCCGTCTCAAAAAAAAATAAAATAAAATAAAAAAATAATAATACCTCACTAAAAGCGAGCTCAAAATACAAAATAACCAAATACATAAGAAAACCAGAAAGGCAATAATGTGTGTATAACAAATGTATAACATTTGGGTAGCGCTTTGTTGCTAAATATTAGAATGTTTCTAAGCAGGGCAATTTCAAGTAACCTACAAAATCTGGTATCTTCTCCTCAGTGAGGAAATATTTGGAACCCCATTAAAAAGAATTGGGAATGATATTCTGCCATACAGGTCCAAGAAATGGAGGATGCAAGTTATAAAATAATAAACATAGCTTGAAACTTCATTTTGAAGAAAAACTATAGAGGTTATGTATTTGTATGTGCATATAACAGAGTATAGAAACGTATACACCAAACTTATCAGAAAGTAGGATTTGGGGAGGATTGAGGGAGAATTTTAAAAATTTACATATTGTTCAGATACAGTTTTTTGCTTTTGACAATGAGCATTTGTAATTTTTTTAATAAAGGAAAACATTTTTAGGAGCTCTTTTGCTTGTAACAACAATAGCAACTATTTTGTCATTGAAAATAATGTACAAAACCCAGTTTTCTGAGTGCAATACAACTGCTAGCTACAGGAAAGTAAGCAATGGACTAGGAGGACAAACCCAAGATTCTTTGAAAATCCTGTTTTTCACATTTCTCTTAATTTGGCATTCTGTCACCTACAATGTAATTACTCAGACGGTGGTTCTTAGAAAGTGTCCCCTTCCGAGAATAATGCTTATTAAGAACAACTTGGAAATGATTCAAGAACTGACTATAGGTCACAATTGACTTACACAATAAACTTTATAGCTATGCCCCAAAGAGATCAGATCACAGCATTAGAAAAAATGGTGAGATCATCCCCTCACTTGTGGTTGGCTTAGATCTAGTCAAGTAATCAAAGAAATTCTGAATACTAAAAGACTAGTAACTCTCCATTTTGAAGAATTGAGTTGAGATGCCTTAAAAAAAAAAAAAAAAAAAAAAAAAAAAAAAAAAAAGATGTCTTGCTAAAAGATGTGCCCATTATAAGTATGGAGAAATAATTTGCTATGTTCCAAAGATAAAAGCCTTGCTAGAGGTAAGAAATATATAAAGTATAGGAAAAAAAGAAACATTTCCAAGACAAAATTTAAAAAACGAATAGTAAGGGATTTTTGTTGCCTTAAAACTTAGCATCTGAAATTTAGCATTTGAAGAGTTAATTTTAATTGGATATATTTCATAATAAGTATCTGAATTATGAGAGGCTGAACTGATTCTATAGTTTCCTTTTAACAAAATTTATCCTCCCATTGGCCAAATTTGGGACATGTTGAACATCAAAAAGAAAAGAGACTGTAAAATGATTGCAAAACATCAGATAAATAAAACTCCATGTGTCCGTAGTGATATTCAAAGAGAAAAAGAAAAAATAAAGGCTCTTTTTTAAGAATGTCAACTAATAAAAGTAGAAGGAAAGATATTTAGAAACCTATCACTTTGCATCCCCAAAGCAATCACTGATTCAAGCAAAGATCAGTCATGGCCAGGCACAGTGGCTCCCGCCTGTAATCCTAGCACTTTGGGAGGCCAAGACGGGCAGATCACCTGAGGTCAGGAGTTCAAGACCAGCCTGGCCAACATGGTGAAACCCCATCTCTACTAAAATACAAAAATTAGCCTGGTATGGTGGCGGTGCCTGTAATCCCAGCTACTCAGGAGGCTGAGGCAGCAGAATCGCTTGAACCCGGGAGATGGTGGTTGCAGTGAGCCGAGATCGCGCCACTGCAACTCCAGCCTGGGCGGCTAAACGAGACTCTGTCTCAAAAAAAAGAAAAAAAAAAAGAATCAGCCATGTAAGCTAAAGCCATTAAGTGGAATTTGTTGAGGGATAGGAGAGCCACAGTACCAAAGAATCCATCCCCAAATACTATTTGCATAAGAAGACTTACCTTTATCATGAAGAAATCTATATTCACCAACTTAATCAAGGTATCAAATAGTGGGGCAACCTGCTATTGTTTCTTGATGTGAAAGAGTAAGAGTATACAACATCATTAGAGAAATATTCTTGCCAAGAATGTTTAACCTGAATTTGATCAAGTCTCACCCAGTTTGTAGGAAATAAAGGGCCCAGATTCTAAGACAACATAAGGAAACAACCAAATCCAACATGTTGGCCTTTCTACAAGAAAACTGTCCTTACTCTTTAAAGAGCCAATTATCTGGCGGGGCGTGATGACTCACGCCTGTAATCCCAGCACTTTGGGAGACAGAGGCAGGCAGATCACTTGAGGCCAGGAGTTCAAGACCAGCCTGACCAACATGGTGAAAACTCATTTCTACAAAAAGTACAAACTAGCCGGTCATGCTGGCGCAGGCCTGTATTCCCAGGTATTCGTGAGGCAGAGGTGGAAGGATCACTTGAACTTGTGAGGCGGACATTGCAGTGAACCAATATTGTGCCACTGCCCTCCAGCCTGAGGGACAGATCCAGACTCCGTCTCAAAAATAAATAAATAGGTCGGGCGTGGTGTCTCACGCCTGTAATCCCAGCACTTTGGGAGGCCGAGGCGGGTGGATCACAAGGTAGGTCAGGAGTTCGAGACCAGCCTGACCACAACATGCAGAAACTCCGTCTCTACTAAAAATACAAAAAAATTAGCCAGGCATGGTGGTGCACACCTGTAATCCCAGCTACTCAGGAGCCTGAGGCAGGAGAATCGCTTGAACCTGGGAGGTGGAGGCTGCAGTGAGCCAATATCAAGCCACTGCATTCCAGCCTGGGTGACAGAGTGAGATTCTGTCTCAAAAAATAAAAACCTAGTATCTTTTGTTTAATGTGGGGAGACTGTTCTAGACTAAAAAGAAACCTACAACCCACAACCAAATGCAATGCATGACATTGACTGAATCCTGCTTTGTAGGGGAGGTAGGAGGGCAGAAAGCCGCTATTAAAAGTTCTTGAAACACATTGGGAAATTTTCCATATAAAATTTTGATATTATGAATTACTACTGATTTTCCTTAAGTGCGATCATATTGTAGGTATACAGGAGAATCTCCTTGTTCTTGGGTAATGTATGCTTTTTAGAGATAAAATATCATGATACCTGAAATTTACTTTAAAATATTTTATCAGTGTGGGGGAGAGGGGAGGATTGCTATGATAGTATCTGTCTTTGATCTGAAAAATCAGTAATATAGTTAAACCTAATACATAAATACAGTTACAGCAAGCATGGCAAAATGTTGACAACTGTTGAAATCTAGGTGGCATAGAGTTGTTTATTATACTATCCTTTCAACTTTTCCATGTTTGAGATTTTTTTGTAATGAAAAGTTGGGAGAGGGGATTATTTTCAGAAATATTTTCCTTAGATGGCACCTATAAAATGTATCCTAAATTTTAAAGTACCTTAACTAGAAGTTGTCTGCTTTCCTTCATTTGCTTGCTCATCGTCCATTCTAATACTAAAACCTGTCTATATTGCGCATATTCTAATGCTAGAATAGGTCTAATATAAATCTCACAAATAACACCAATAACCAGCACAAGATTTATAGGTGTAAACATCTGGTTTTATACCGAAATAACAAACTTAACAGCAGTAAAACAAATCGTTTATTACTGCATATGTGTTATATTAAATTTACACAATGATATATAAAAACACATACTGTTTATATTATATAGTAATTTAACATCAACAGGAATATCAACACAAGTACTACTCATGCACAAAACATGCATATATTGGTATACAAAAAGCAATTTTACACAATACTGTTTACCAAAAATTTTTTCTTAAAAAACAGCCCTTCCACGTAGGATCAGCGGTCCAATCTGGACTGGATTGCACTAATATGTTCAGGTCAATGCTTAGGTGGCATAGCGCTCAGTGAGCAATTCTGGGATTGGAGTCATGCCCAAGGGTTACTTCATAAATAGTGAATGTCTCTGTGCCCAAGGACCAAAATTTTATCCCAAAAGTAAATCCTCCAAGGAATGAAAGGTTAGATTGGCTACAAATTAGGGAGGGAAAAGAAGGCATCAAAATGTTGGATAAACGGCCCTAGAAGGGGTTATTAGGAACAGGGCCTAGGCACCAAGTGTGGCAAAAGTTTTTGTGAATCCTTTTAAGGTCCCTATCCAGGCTGCCATCTCTGGATTTAAGGTCTGGCCTCCAAGTCATGAGTCTAGTAAAAAAAACAGTTCTGAGAATAAAGCCGAATGGGCATACATCTGAGAAATGTAGACTACATAAAAAACTATAGAATACAATAACTGCCCCTCGTACCTACTTCACACTATTGTATGTGGTGCCCCTCAACAGGAAAAGCCTCATGGAGACACTGCCCTGAAAACTCAAGAAGCAAATATAAATCCAAAAATTCCATCCACCTGACCTTGGGATCAAATGGTCTTATCCCAATAGAACTTGAACATCGAAACCTGTACCTTGCCGGATGCTCAGAAAGATTAAAATAAAAAACAGCTGGTACCACAAAACTCACTATCACCATTAAAACCTCAATATTTACTTCTAACTAGCAAAACATTCTTAACCTTCCATTAAAGGCACTAGCGTCCGTATGTGAAGATGAAACAATAATTTACCTTGGTTTTATCTTTTTAAAAAAGCATTCCATTAAAGTATTATACAAAAATGAAACCACCACCTTTTTTATTTTGGCAACTAGAAAAAAAAAAAGACACTTTCTACACCAATGACGTCACTCAAACCGTCGTCATCAGTTTCAAAGAGCCAGACCGAAAGCGGAGGATCTTCTTCTTGAGGTTATGTGAGGCCTTAATTTTGACAAAGGTTTTTGCGTGGTGGTTGTGAAGGTCTGGCGCCGTTACCGTTTGAATGGGGAGAGTTTGGACAAACTGGGACCAAATCAAGCCACCGCTTTCTTCAGAGTCGCTGGTGGTTGTGCTCTCCCCCACGAACTCACCCTCGCTCACACTCGACTCGCTGTCCCCGAAGCAGTTGGTGGTGTAATTGCTCTGCTCATCCTCACTGGTGTCCACCACGGTGGAGTGGAACAGGGACTCGCACTCCGCCGAGTATTCGGAGTCGCTAGCTACATAGGCGTAGGGACTGGCGTAGGGCAGCTGCACCGGCGCGGGGTACAGCCCCACATTCTCCCGGCGACCCCGCCGGGCCCTCCGCAGGGCCTCTTCATACGAAATCTCGGCCGAGGACTTCCACCGCCGGTAGTCAGTTCGCTTGTGCTTAGGTTTGGCCACTACCGCCTCCCGTCCGTGGCCGTGCGCCCTGCTGCCCGCCCTGTGGCCCCCGCCCGCGGGCCTACCAGGAAGACCAGCCTCGGGCCCGCCCCCGCTCTTCCTCCCCTTGGAGGAGGCTTTCTTGAGTTTCTTATTTGTATCCAAGTCATCCGGGAAGCGACACTTTTTGCTGCCGGCCCGCGTTTTCTCCCTGACGGTGGGCAAGCCGTTCTCCAGCCCCTGGAGGGCTGGGCCGCGGTGCTTCAGGCTAGAGCTCTTCGCGACGCCCACGTTCCTGTGGCCCCGGTGGAGCCTGACACTGGGCTGCTGCCCCGGGATGAACTGGGCCTTGACCAGGTGCGCTTCCTCCAGGCTTTGGGAAGAAGAGCCCTCGCTCTTGAAATCCAAGGCAGGCCTCTCTTCCACCGGGAAAGCTGGAGACAGCAGGGGAGGAGTGGCCGGGGTGACGCCCTGCAGGCTGTTTTTCTGTGACATCTTTTTCAGAGGCTGGACAACTTTGTTCTCCTGCGGCGGGGCAGTGCCTATGCCGGGACTCTCCTTTGGCGAAGCCCCTGAGAGCTGAGCGTTTTCTTTAGGGGACTCCCCTGTCCCGATGGCGGGACACCGAGCATGTTCTTGGGAGGCTGGCTTGGCCGTTTTCGGCAGGTGCTTACTCTGAAGGTCGGAGGCAGCGCCTGAGGGGCAGCCCTCTGGCAGGGGCAACCTCTTGCTTTCGGCTTGTTCGGCCTTTGATTCTTTTGACCAGGGCTTCGGTGGGGAGAATGTCCCATTGTCCAGAGAAGGTATCCCGCTAGAGGGCAGACATGCCTGTTTCGAATTCTTAAGGTTCACACTGTTGCCCTGCGAGACACCGCCCGGGGCTCTGATACAAACGCTCCCGTTCCTCAGAAGCCCTTTCGTGGGGTCAGCGTTCACGCTGGTTCTTGGTTTGTTGGTCCTTACAGGGTGTGTTTTTTTCTGGACGAGGCTCAGAATGTAGCCATCCATTTTCTTGCTGGATGAAGGATGGGAAGCAGACCATAGACTGCTTGGGGACGGTAAAGAACTGTCTGTTTTGACGGCATTTAGCTCAGATCCACCGCAAATGTCATTGGCATGGTTTCCAAGCCTGTCCTCTTCCCTCAGAGGGTTGCCCGTCAGACAAAGGAGAAACATTGGACTCTGCACAGCCACAGCATGAAGTGGACTGGGATACCGATACACATCATTCCCGTTTTTGGACACCAGATCACACTGGTACTTGGGATTCACATCTGCAATGACATCAAGGGAATTAAATTGTGGTGTGGAGAGGGAACGGCAAACTGCCCCTGAGGCCTGGTCTTCACAGTGGCCTTCTTTATATTCCAACAATCCTATGAGATCAGAAAAACATTTAAAGGTACACTCTGAAGAAATGAATTGGTCAGCACCAGCTTGACTCTTCGGCCAATTTTTATGAAAAATCCATGGGTAGAGAGAGCATGCCAAGGATTAAAAAACGCTGCCCTACCATTTGACATGTAATTACTGCTACTGGATGAGGGGGAAATATTTAACAAATGTTTTGACAGCAGATAATAAATCCTCTGAAGGAAAAATACTCAGCCATTAAGAATGTTTTCAAACTGCTGCATCATAGAGGGAAAACACTTTGAAGTTTAGTGAAAATAATGATATAATACTAGAATATGATTATTTTACTATGATCACATGTATGCAAAGAAAAAACATCTTGAGATGAAGCACACCAAGATTCTAGTAGTAGTATTTCAGTATGATGAGAAACAAGTGATATTTACTTTATTTTCTGTTTTCCGAATTTTCAATCATAACTGTACTGCATTTACAACTAGGAAAAATAAAATGTTTTGAATCACGGTTTCTCTAGGCTGCTCTCCCCTCTGTGTTCTATGGCTTTCTTTAGGATAAACTGTACATTCAGTAGGCTTTCTCCTCATTTTGTGTTTTTTAAAACCTAATTCTTAATGACATTCATTCAAATATAACTGTCAATTGAAAGGTGATGGAAACCAATCAAACTTCAGTAAAAACATCAGATTTAAATAATAATTGCCTTATATTTTCAATAGTGATGCTAAAAAAATAAAACAGGGGCCAGGTATGATGGCTTATGCCTGCAATCCTGACTCTGGAAGGCTGAGTCCAGAGGATCGCTTAGGCCCAGGAGTCCAAGACCAGCCTGGACAACATAGTGAGACCCCATCTCTCTAAAAACAAATTTCAATTTAAAACTTTTTTTTTAATATGATAAAGAATTCTTGATTTAAGATTTTAAAAGATTGAGTGGTAATATTAATGGATAAATTTCCCCTATCTTGAAAATGTAGATGCCAAAGTACAACAAAATCAAGCTTGCTGTCTTAAATGATTTTGATCTCTTAAGTTGGCGAATATTATAAATAACAAATCCTTTTAATGACCTTCAGTTATCAGAGAAAATTAAAATTGAGTTTATCAGTAATAATTTGTCCTCCATTATATTTATTCATTCAAATACTGAGAATCTACATGTGCCTGATTCTATGTTGAGAAAGCTCCATGAACTTCAATGATAATTAGCAGTCTGAGGGAAAAAATAGTCTAGACCTAGAGATGATATGTAAAGAAAATATAATAAAACAAAAGTGCCGTGTCCCCACCCACATGACCCTCCCCTCAATAAAGAGCTTTTTCTAAAAGGAAACATCTAGCTAACATCCTTCCCTATCCTTCCTCCCCCAGCAACCTAAGCCCTATCTCTGCCTTACTTAAAGCCACACTGACAAACGCTTCACTATTCATCCCTTTTCCCTCTTTAGAGTTGAACAAAACAGATATCCCAGCCCCCAAGGCCTTGTGCAACTGTCTCAATTATGTGAGGATGTGGCATTTGGAAGAGCACGGGTCTGTCTTGAAGGAAAACCTAAACCAAAGTGCCTTTAATGGGTTTATAAAGTTTCCCTCTGAAACCAGATCTGTGGAATGAAGGGGAGTAATTACCAATGAACTTGAGGCCCAGACCCTCTAGATAACACAGTTCTGTGCTTCCCCAAATGATTGCTGCTGACAACACACAGATACGAAGACACCAGCCAATTAGCTCCCTCAGCTGCTCAGTGTTGTCTGCCTTGCCCGGACTCAAAAATTCAGGCCTATTCCCAAGTGGAGAACACAGACAAACCGGGAGAGTGATGACTTGTGCCAGCACCCAGAGCAATTCTAATCTTCATATTTTCTCTTACAAGAATTCACAATATAACAGGACTAAGGAAGAAGTCTTGAGTTCCAGCAGCAACCCTGCCATTCAGCAGATGGAGAACCTCTGACAAATGGCTTATAAGCCAAAATTCCTCTTCTGTTAGACAAGAAGTTTGAAAACAACAATTTCTGAATTCCCTTGGGATGATGGAAAACCATGGACCTGGCAGTTAGGCCTGAGCTTAACTTCTGCCTCTGCCACTCACTATCTATAGAGCCTTAAATAACATATCTAACCTTACTAGGCCTCATTTTTTTAATACATAAAATGGAGCTAACAAGACCTGTACTGTGCAGAACTACTGGGAGGATTCAGTGGAGATAAATGTATACAGAGCATCCAGCACAGTGTGCGACACATACTGGAAATGCAGAAACTCTTCTAGTATAATAGCATGATTCCTTCTGGGGGTCATTGCAAAGATATCCCAAAATAAGGAATAATGGCATGTGGGCACCCACTTACTAAAAGAAAAACAAGCTGCCATCATGCAGAATATTCTGGAGAACATGAAGGGGCCACTGCACCCTGAAGTGCCAACCAGTTTTTGGCCAGGCTGGTGGACATATTTAACTTAATGTGAGTGTTAGATTGATTGATTGAGATGGTGCCTCACTCTGTTGCCCAGGTTGGAGTGCAATGGCAAGATCTCGGCTCACTGCAACCTCCGCCTCCAGGGTTCAAGCGATTCTACTGCCTCAGCCTCTCAAGTAGCTGGGATTACAGGCACATGCTGCCACACCCAGCTGATTTTTGTATTTTTAGTAGAGAAGGTGTTTCACCATGTTGCACAGGCTGGTTTTGTTTTTTGTTTTTTTTTTTTTTTTTTGAGCCTGAGTCTCTCTCTGTCGCCCAGGCTGGAGTGCAGTGGCACGATCTTGGCTCACTGCAACCTCCACCTCCTGGGTTCAAGCAATTCTCCTCCCTCAGCCTCCCAAGTAGCTGGGACTATAGGCGTGTGCCGCCATGCCTGGCTAATTTTTGTATTTTTAGTGGAGATGGGGTTTTACCATGTTGGCCAGGCTGGTCTTGAACTCCTGATCTCAAGTGATCCACCCACCTCGGCCTCCCAAAATGCTAGGATTATAGGGGTGAGCCACTGTGCCAGGCCAACCCAGGCTGGTCTTGAACTCCTGACCTCAGGTGATCCAACCGCCTTAGCCTCCCAAAGTGCTGGGATTACAGGTGTGAGCCACTGTACCCGGCTGAGTTTTAGCTTTAAATAATTAAAAGAAGAAAACAGTTCCAGAATGAAAGAAAATACAGACAAGTTAACCTAACAGCAAAGGCTCGGAAACAGAGCTCAATACCTACAATATTGGGACAGGATTTCTAGAGATAAACTGTCTTGCTGCCAACAGAATATATAACCAAGTAGCACCCAAAGGGTACTGGAATAGTTCTAGATACTCACCTAAATGAAACTATGAGTTCTAGCTGTAAGTATGGCACTAAATGCTGCAAATTGATGAACCTTTATTTTTCTACCAGTGAAAGGTGCTAGAGCCAAATAACCTTTTAAGGGCCCTTGACGCCTTCCAATTAAAAAATTTCTATCAGTGCTAAAAATTCTTACCTGCAGATTTGGGGCAACCATCTGAGAGAGTCAAGGTCGCCTCCAAGGGGCTGCAAAAGCAGGTGCTGGAATGACAACTGGATAAACACTCACTGAACACCGAGTTAGAGGAATTGGAAAGGGATCCTGAAGCCCCATCACTCAGCTCATAAAACCCTACAAATAAAAACACCATTGGAATTAAGATCATGTCAAGGAATAATGCATATTCATGCTTAAAAGGAAAATGAATAATCATTTAGGGAAAGGAGATTTTTGTTTGTTTGTTTTTTGGCCAATTTTGGTTCATTGGACTTTAGTGTCCTAATCTTATGGTCTTATTTCAAACAATCCTTAGGAAAAGGCAGAGCCATAACCAGGGGTACATTTCAGAGTTACTCTCACCCTCAAACTGACCTTACTCCTTGACCCCGCCTTTGAAGATGTCCAAGGAAAGAAACTTAGATCTGTCAAGCCTCATCTTTATCATGATTGTTTCAGAAAAATAATAAGAGAAAAATCTATTTAAGGAGCCAATGGTTTAAAAGAAAAAAAAAAAAAACTTTTGAAGTGGTCTCAGGAAGTTGAAGTGTGACTAATTTTCTAGCCCAGTTCTGACTTACTCAAGTTTCAAAGGAGGGCAGCTCTTGCAGAAATTTGAATAGCTTTTATTTTTAAACTCGGGGGGACTCCAGTCACATCGATCTCATTACTAAAAATTTTGTTGTCTGAGTTTATTTCCCTCTTATTCCAATGAAACTGAATGGCAGGCTGCTTTTTTTTTTATTTTATTTTTTATCCTCTCTCTGTGCACTGGAAACAAACTCCATTGCCATTTGCAGGTCTGGGAATGTTAACCACAAGGGGCTGAGATATAACTCAAGAGTGCAGAATTCTGTCCTTGTGCTCACTCACTCACCTGAGCTAGGCCGACTGTCTGTCTCCAGGTGCTCTTCAGATGTCTTTTCTACATCCAGTCTCAGGTCACTTATCTGCTTGTCAAGCTCTTGCAACTGATTCAACAAACCAGCATCTCTTCGCCTCAAACAATTCTGATTAGGAAGAAACAAAGGAAACATGAATATACAGGGGTGACGTAAGAACCAGAAAGTCAAGTCTAAGGATTCAAATTACCCATCTGAAGAGTTCACTAAAACTTAGAAAACCAAAATTTTACTGGATGACCTGAAGTAAAAAAAGACTTCGAGAATTCAAGAATATGTCCTATGTTTAATTCCACTTTCTCACATTTTGTGGTGATATAAAGTTTCTTCATAAAAACAAGGCTTTAGTTTCAACTAATATATGCAAACTGACTTTTTATAGGTAGGGACAAGAAAAACGGACTGAGACTTTAAATCATCTGGTGTATAACCAGTCTTTTAAAAAACAATACTTCACAGTAGACTCTTTAATTTGAAGTGAGAGTAACAGATTTCCTATAATACGTTATAATCTTAGGTGAGATTTTCTGGCCAAATGTCTTGGCCTGCAGAGTTTTGTTTTCTACTAGTTGCTGTGTGGGGTTTAATCAGTCTTAGGGCCTTTGAAAGTGAGAAACTAATACTAATAGCCAGTGCCAAGTATAATGTGAGCTGGCAGAATCCAAAACCCTCATGGGAAGGCCCATCGAGATTTGAACGCCTCTGGGTTTCCAAAGGTGACAGATGGATTGTGCTAACTCACACTGCCACCTAGTGCTTCCTATTGCTGGAAAAACGGGAGAACTCAAAAAGCATCTGGTTCAAATCATGAATGCCAAGTCTACAAATGAAAATAGTACCATAAACACTGACTGGACTGGAATTCTCTTGACATACGGCTTTGCTCCCCTCAAGCGGACAATAGGAATGCACAATTACAATCCTGAGATTCGTGCAGACAAAAAGATGCAATTGCACAAGACAATAAAATGTAAAAGTCACCAGCCATAACCAGTGAGAACTGGCTCAAATCAGTGTTACACAGGAATCAGGTCTGTGACCAAAGCAGCACAGTAAAATACCAAAACAGAGATATTACACAAACCACAGTGTACATCCTTACAACACACATGCATATGAATATCTATGCCTCTTGTCTTTTGACTTAAAAAGCTTGGAGACATAAACCATATGTTTGTTTGCTACAACTAATTTCTTCAGGAAAAATGAACCTATCAAGTAAAAGCATTTGGGTGCTTAAAAAAAACACACACAGAGAGAGAAAAGAAATGATCTGAAAAGAGATAATAGAGGAAAACATATGACAACCGCACAGCATCACCACTTTGTTGTGGGAGGGCCACTACCCGGCATGTGTCTAGTTTGGATAGCATCACTTGGTCAGGTAAGGGCGTTTGCTGTTTCCAAAACTACATTTTAAGGTCAATGAAAACAAAGCTGCCGCCATTATTCTGAGGCGGGGTCAAAAGCCGTTCATCAATACATTAAGCTACAAAGTTCTTTTCCTTCCCCACTAATGAAGACTGCATAGAATGACTGAGACAAATCCAGTAAGATAAATGCTCCCCGAGAGCAGGTTCTCTTTTCTCCCACCTCCACCACCAATCACAGCTGGCAGAACGTATAAAATATGAGAGGAGGGGACACAGTCTCCAGCCAAATTTCCATCATTTCCATCTAGTTTGAGCTGCCTTATACAAAGGGCTTCTATTTGAAATTAAGCACCAGCCTGGGTGAAAGCTGGCATGCTGGGGAGAGCTCTCGGAGAGGCACGGCTCCCTACAGGCGCTCCAGTGTAATCGTAAAACTCGGCCTTGGACAGTTAAGCACGCCACAAACCCCCTCCTTGGCTTTTGGCCCCTCTCGGCGGGAGGAGATGAAGCCAAGAAAACCTCCAAATAAAATCGTATTTTAAGTGGGAGTTTGCAAACCTCTGGGGAGGGGGCATATACTCATCTAACTAAGGAGACCGAAGGTCAGAACTAGGCGACTCCAAGAATCCCGAAGGCAGAGGAGGAGGGAAGAGCGGCCACCCCCTTCCCGCAATCCGCGCGAGGTCGCCAGACACAAAGCGGGCACACGCCTGAAACGCGTGGGCGTCGGCAACCCACGCGCCGCAGGCACTCAGAAACGAGATCAGGGAGGTATGGGGCGGGCGGGGGCGTCCCGGGGGCGTCCCATAACAGCGAGCATCTCCCCAGCCAGAGTTAACCTCGCGTCCGCCCCAGGTCACCTGCCCGACCTCCAGCCCCGGGGCAGGGACAGCCGTGCTCCACCTTTGGGCATGACCTACCAATTGCTTTCGTAGTAGCAAGATGTTCTCCTCCAAGAACTTCTCTTCCAGGCGGCTGCGCTGCGCCGCCTCCCCCAGTAGCTCCCCGGCGCGG